AATTTGGTGAAAGAACAATATTGAACTCTCCTGTTGAGTATACTATATATAATACTATGTGGACTTGTACTTTTACATGTACAGGTATGTTCCGCAGAAGCGTTCTTAATGAGGTGCTAAAGATACGATCGCACCAGGTCCGCAAGCGGTGGGGTGGGTGGATCATAATTCTGGAGTTTTTTTTTTAAACAAATTATAATTAAAGCAGAATATTTAAAGATAAATTTTATTTTGAAAACAAACCTGTGTTTCTCAATCAATATTTCACAAAATTTCTTCAGTGATATCGAAATTAGATGGGGGCGGGGGCCTGTTGTCCTCATGTCGTACCGTTCCTGCACAGCCTAAAACACCCGCTGATCAGTACGAGGGGAGTAGTGTTGATAGCATTGTCAGCGACAAGGACGACTGCGGTAATAATAATCAGGAGAGAAGGAAAAGGATTATTATTATTATTATTATTATTATTATTATTATTATTATTATTATTATTATTATTATTATTTGATTGATTGATTGATTGATTGATTGATTGATTGATTGATTGATTGATTGATTGATTGATTGATTGATTGATTGATTGCAGGCGGCTACCGTACTTTACAATGCCCAGTTGCACACTGTATTCCATGTAGTATACGTTTCCCAAGTTGCGAGATGAGACCAGATGGATTCAACCCTCACCCAGAGAAACTCTGGAGCCCATACTATATAGTATGCAAAAAGGATCGCTTCATATCAGAAGAAAGATGTCCAGCTGATGAGGAAGGTCGCACCCAGTTGTTCTCTCCGAAAATCAATATGTGCACAAGTCTGGATTTCATTTCCCAAGAACATGGCGGCCTGATGACAAATTGTACTGGGAAAGAGGACGGTGCGAACGCAGACGACTTCGGTAGATGTGACCGCTATGCGGAATGCCAAAACGGAACATTTGTGAACATTGTTAAATGCCCGTCAGGACTCGTGTTTGACACAGCTGAAAGAAAATGTGTGCTAGGTAAAGACGCATGTGCACCTTGCGGGGATAAACAAGGGTGGTAAGTTACTTCATATTATATTCTGATTCTCTCTGAGGATTTATCGGTATCTAGCTACCTCCAAAATTTTTTGAAATCCAATATTAACTAATTGAGTTATTGTGCAGACTGACGGTAAGGTGGAAAAACCATTTGAGTTATTGTGCGGACTGACGGTAAGGTGGAAAAACCATTTGAGTTATTGTGCGGACTGACGGTAAGGTAGAAAAACCATTTGAGTTATTGTGCGGACTGACGGTAAGGTGGAAAAACCATTTGAGTTATTGTGCAGACTGACGGTAAGGTGGAAAAACCATAGGGCGGAGGAGCGGAAAGGTTCGATTTAAAATAATGCTTTTTCAAAACATCGATTGAAGTGATTAAAACGCATATGCATACCTGTGCTAGATTCGCAATGCAGGAGTGCGCATCAAAATAAAGCCATTAAACCTGATATAAACCAAAAAGTCAAACTGTGAAAGTCAGCTCCAAGTCCCTTCCACCTTTCTATGTACATGAAATATCTAATCAATTCTTTGTTCTTACTCAGATTGTACGTTTGAATGGTTTCAAATTTTAAACAAGACCTATGTATTTTCGTTAGAAATGTGCCTGTGTCATTTTGGTAGAATACTGCTTACATATTTCCAGTAAAATAACGGAACTGATTTTCTGTTTTAGTTTAGATGCGAAGCAAACAGATTGGGTGGCGTTCTCCAGTTATTATGTACTTTTGAGAGAGTGATGTATGTAAGGTAAAGTTGTTTGCACTTAAAACATGCACATTGGTGAGAATGTTGGCATGCCTCTATACTACTGTCATGTAATGAGGCTTACATTTCTTTTGATATTGTACGTTTGGAAATTGTAAATGATATTAGCGCACTGCTAACTAAACTGAATGCTTCCTTGTGTTCCAAATTCAACCTGAATTTGTCTAAAGTACACAATCCTTGGCAGCTATTAAAATAGGGAAAATGTATTTTGCTAGAATAAACAATACCAGCTTCTGAAAGTGCAATGAATGAATTACCAAATATATAGAATAAAAAGAATGAAAAAAGGTTATCGGCTCTTTTTTTTACAATTTACCTCTGAAGTTCGGGAAGTGAAATGAGCTAATGGAGATAGCACTTTTTTTGAAAAGTGCACATATGGAGTAATACCAAGCTGTATACTCTATAACCCATATTACACACATCAATCATACACCAAAATAAAGGGAATTAAAGGTTCTTTGTACAATACTTAAGATATACAAAGTCTTTTTTAAATAGCTAGTATAACTAGTGAGGAAACCTGTGGAAATTTTTTTTCTTTACAATTCTTTTCCTATGCTCAATACGCAACTGTAGAGCGACATCTTGACTTATTTTAACAAGTATATTTTCATTACAGTCGGAAGTAGTTCCTGTCAGAGCCGACGAAGAAAAAAGGTGTTCGAAGTTGACTGGACTGAGAAAGAAGTGACCCTGTAATTATGGAAAAGGACATTCTTTTATTTATTTCAAACGAAATGTAGAAATTGTTAAAATCACGGTACACATGCCATTTCAAAGAAAGTGACCTTACGCTGGTGAAGCAATACTAATGAAAGGATTGAATCTGAGAAATTGCGTTTGTATTTTTTTCATTGACAAAATAGTCTTTCCCAAGTTTCCAGAGTAATAGCGGCGTCATTTTTAAATAGAGTTTCATAGAAAGTTCAATGCATATTTATAATGTGGATACGGTTTTCCTTTTTTAATGCAAACATCAACAATTGAAGAATTCATACAGTCGTAATTGACTAAATTGTTTACTATGATTAGATTCCACATGTTCATAAAGCATAGCTATACATACATACATACATACATACATACATACATACATACATACATACATACATACATACATACATACATACATACATACATACATACATACATACATACATACATACATACATACATACATACATACATACATACATACATACATACATACATACATACATACATACATACATACATACATACATAAATGCATGCATGCAGACATACCTACTTACCTACCTACCTACCTACCTGCATGCATGCATACCTACCTACCTACCTACCTACCTACCTACCTACCTACCTACCTACCTACCTGCATACATACATACATACATACATACATACATACATACATACATACATACATACATACATACATACATACATACATACATACATACATACATACATACATACATACATACATACATACATACATACATACATACATACATGCACAATAACAATGGCATAGAAAAGTACAAGGTCTATCGCATATCTATCAGAGACATGCAATTCTACATGTCAATCAAAACACTAATTTCGAGGAAAAAAAGATGCAACTGAAGGTTTAAGTAAAAAGCTAAGAGGCAGTAAGCCAAGACGACGAAAACGTACTATTTCCGCTGGCTAAATGTACTGTCAAAAGCTGTTTTGCAATTTTTCCGTTTAGCCATTTTGATAAAATGTTAGGCATGAGATAAAAGCCATTCAGGTCTTAGCTGGGTCCTTCTAACAGCGAGCATGCAGTGATAGGTCTACTTTATTTAGTAATAAGAATGGCGATAAATATACGGATGCATCTTTAATTTCCTCAAAATGTACTTTCTTAGTTATTTCTCCAAATCTGAAAGACATAGCTCATGATAAGGATTCCAAATCTTGGTGCATATTGCAAAATTGAACTGTAAATTCGATTACATTTTGAAATGGAATCACATTCTCAACTTTTCTAAAAGTGAAAGTAATATGATATTCCATAGCGTCCTTTTCATTATTGCAATTAAACGAATTCACGTCCTTTCCTGATTAATGATTCCGAACAATCAATGACAGAACAGAAACACAGGTTCAGTTGATTCAACTGTTTAAATCACATGTACTTCGTACGAAATTGACCCAATAAATCCAGTCCAGTTGTTGTTGTTGTTTTTGTTGTTGTTGTTGGGCTGAACGCCATTTTTCAGCACACGATAGGCTATTCATGACGCCCAGTATTAATGGTGGAGGAAGAAACCGGGAAATCACCGGAAAGAGCCACCGACCGACGAGAAGCTACTGGCAAGCTTTCTCACATATCCACATTCGCCGAATCCTAGACTCGAACCCACGCAGACCGAGGTGAGATGGCAGTGATCCATAACGGACAGCGCTTTAGACCACTCGGCCACTCGGGGCCCCAAATCCAGTCCAACACAAGTAGAAAGCAGAACTGAGTTGCAGAGGCAAAAAAGGCAATATATTACAGACCAACTGTAAAAGTTGATTCACAAAATGGCTTTAAATTTCAGTTATTTTTTTTTAACTAAAGAGGAGCGTGAGACCAGGCTCAATGTTCGGTGGGCGGTGTTATATGCCCATTAATTTTGCTGCTGTGTTTATGGTTGTGAATTCATTTACTTTGTTTCTTTAATGAAATGTGTTCTTTATGTTATTAAGCCTTAGGTAGACAATCCAAATGAATGCATTTTAAAAAGATTACTATATTTATATGGGAAAACATGGACTCGCGTAATACTGCACTCCCAAAGTCGCGCAATCTTGCTAAGAGAAAAACTCGCTTATATTTTCCCATACATAAACTAACATATAAAATTGTAGTGCAAATCAGGAACTATGAGATGACTTAATTCACTCTAGAAATATTCATTTAAAACCATGTCATGTGTAATTTCTAGGACTTAACGTTCAATTGATGGTATGGTCTCATTCTGAAATAGTGGAACTCTCTCTCTCTCTCTCTCTCTCTCTCTCTCTCTCTCTCTCTCTCTCTCTCTCTCTCTCTCTCTCTCTCTCTCTCTCTCTCTCTCTCTCTCCTGCCTTTTGTTAGATTTGCAAACTCAGTGGAAAGTGGTTGAAAAGAGGTTGACGACAGTGCGAAACATCTTATTTTAGGTTACCACAAGCTGCTTGCAGAACGCAATGGTTTCTTCGAGAGACCGTTCCGGTGGCCTAGTGGTTAGGACATCCGCCTTGGATGCAGGAGGTCGTTGGTTCGATCCCCTGCCCAGTCATAACAAAGACTTATGAAAAGCTTGTCACTTAGCATTAAGAGGTTATTGTTAAGACTGGTTGGTCTGGTGTCAGGATAATGTAATTGGTTGGGATATGATGCTACATATCTGCGGCATCATACACCAGTGCTAGACGTCATTATAAACTGCCACACTGCAGACATCGTAGCGAGATGACTGAAAAAATTATTAAAGCTGTTTTAATAATCTAATTCCAAATCCAAATCTTCTAGAGAGTGATAAACGCTTTAGAGGTGAGAGACGGGATTAACTTATTCAGTCAGAAATATATGTTAAAAGTAATACTTCTGTTTGTTATCTATCATTTATGCTGTAAGGAACAAATTAATGCAAGTGACAGCAGACGTTATAAGATCCTTTTACACTAAAACGGCATATCCTACTTACATCGAACATGTCTTAGCATGACAGCGAAAAATTCAGTATTCTATCGTTTAATAAAGTAATTGACTAGTTATATAAATCTCCACGAATCTTTTTGTATAGCAAGTGCCGAAAATCTCTCTCTCTCTCTCTCTCTCTCTCTCTCTCTCTCTCTCTCTCTCTCTCTCTCTCTCTCTCTCTCTCTCTCTCTCTCTCTCTCTCTCTCTCTCTCTCTCTCTCTCTCTCACACACACACACACAGATTTGTTCTCTTTCTTTTCTCCACATTCAACAGCACAGATACAATCTTTCAAGATTCTGCAAGACGCTATTTATTTTTGGGAACTGAAATCTAAATTAGAACAGGATGTTACAAAATGGTTCCTTCCTAACTCTATCCCTACCATCCTATCCTCGTCTGAATATTCAATCAAATACTGTGCTATGCACGTATGCACGTATTAGACCTACTACCCCAATGAGCGTGTCAGCACGGTACCGGGGTGGCTCGATAAGTGGAGTTAATCGTTCAATAAACGTAGCAGTGGATGCAGACTTTCAAACGATGAGCATATTGAATCAGTCTTTACATTGCGTTTGATTTCTTTTTTTCGATTTATTGATGGGTAATACTTCATCCAGTCTGAGTGTTGCATTTTCAACTGCAGATGACATTACATTTGCAGTCTCTTCCAGGCAAAAATGTAACATGTGATGTATCCGCTAATTAATTAGGTTGTGTTGTTTATATTACTATCTATTGCTCCTTTTCCTATTTGGTAATATTTTGTTTATTACCATCAAATTTTAAAATCAATTTGATGTGGTGATAGCAGACGAATTGTGTCTTAGAACTATAATTCGTTTAGAAGCATTAGGGTTAAACCGTATCAGTATTTGTTACGTTCATTGCATAATCAGATGTTGAAATGATGCATGTATGTATGTGTATATGTATATATGTATGCATGTATGTATGTATGTATGTATGTATGTATGTATGTATGTATGTATGTATGTATGTATGTATGTATGTATGTATGTATGTATGTATGTATGTATGTATGTATGTATGTATGTATGTATGTATGTATGTATGTATGTATGTATGTATGTATGTCCCATTCGCTTGCCGCTGACAAATCCTATAGTAGTAGGTAAATTCGGATTTTTACCCAGAGATCCCTAAAAAGCCCAAACATGTATAGATCGACCACCTCGTCAACACCCACGATCACCATCTTGCTGATGACCAAAACATATGATACATCATCGTCAACATAATCACTGTATGTGAATTATCTCATATGACAATATATTCGACGTATTTGTTTGGGGCATTTTAGGAGTCTCTGATCTATAACCAGCCTTTACCCCAACTACTTTTACTGTCAAATTTTCAAACATTATACCTCATCACTGATGATCAATGTGTCAGCTGTTGATATTAGAGATATTTCTTCATGGCAGAGACTAAACTTTACCGTTCACACGGCAACAGCATTCGAACAAAACCTTCATTTTCAGCATGCAACAGGATATTTTTGGTCGATCAAATATACTTTTGACCGCTCGAGATCAATGGTACGTTTAGTATATTTCTGTTGCCTGATCGGAACGTGAAAGTTTGTTTAACTCCGCTGATAACTTATGGCTCAACTGTTCGATGCAATTGAAATATCCGCTGTCATCAGATCTGATGTATCAGTTTTAGCTTGTCACGAGCTGAGGTAAAGCATGTCCCTGTTAGTACGTTATCAGTTTCGACTGTCAACTGTTTGTCGTCTATCGTTAGAATTTTGATCTTGCTATTGTATTTATGTGTGGCTGTCAAAGTTTCAAACATTATTTATATTTTTCAAACAAAATTTTATACCATTGACGCCGAATTTGAGGTCGAGCAGATCTGTTTCGCAAAAATGCCCAAGTGCAAATGTATATCATCAAAATTACTCAATCCTCGTTTAATAATCACATCTGTTTCAAGCTTATTATGATTTGTATGAATAGCCTTTGCTCTTATAAAACTAACGACGACGTCAATCGTATATCTGTAATCGTCAAATTTCTGGAACTTTATCACAGCATTGCGAGGCAGACCTTTTGCTTTTTTCGTGATTTTATTATTGTCTAACAATGCCGTATACATTTTTCTGCGCAATCCGATAAAGTATTTGATGACTACTCGAGTTCATTTCATCTTTGAACTTGCCAATAACCTTTTTATTCGTGTAGTTGTGAAATTTACTGTCACGAGGGTAATTTGAAAGTTCAAATAGATATTGATTATCGTTCATATCCTTATAGACGTCTTCACATTGGATTTCATACACAAGCGAATCGGTATTAGAAAACAATAGTCTAAAGGACAGCAACTGATTTTTAACAAGATTATAATGATATTTATACATATGCCACTTCGATAAATCTAACACGGAAGCTCCAACTTAAATCAGTTTGTTTCCTTTCAGATTTTTTTCTTTGTATCACAACAATGTTTTCGTTAAAACTTTTTATGCTGACAAATTCAAAAATTACAGGATAAAGGTTTCTTAGGTTTACTCTGATAAAGATCGAAAGAGGAGAGTAGAAACATCACAGAAGAACTTGTAAGACACACTGCTGCATGTTGAAATGCAAGAAGATTGTTTTTTAATCTGTCAAATTTGGCTTGTCGTTCTGCAGTTGCAGCAGTGTGTCTTACAAGTTCTTCTGTGATGTTTATACTCTCCTCTTTCGATCTTTATCAGAGTAAACCTAACAAACCTTTATCCTGTATTTTTTTAGCTCGTCAGTGGATAGTGCAAATGTTTCTGGTTGTTTGCAAAGTACTGCTTCTGTAACAGGTTTGAAAACTTTTGCAGTTTCTTCCTCTGCATGAACTTGCCCACGCCGAGCTTCTGCCACCTTTTTTAAAAGCTGCTTGAGTTTTTAATTCAATTTTTTTTTGTTGATGCTTTTCCATTTTTTTCTATATGCGCTATAAAATTCTAGTATAAAAACGTGTTGATCCAACAACGAAACATCTTGGCCTGATCACACGCTAACTTGTCAAATAAAAAGAAATTGTAATTGTCTTTTGTTGTTCGTTGATATAATTGGATAAATTTATCTTTCATGACATATCCGCATTGCTCGTTTGCAATATTTCTCACATCAACATTATCCAGTCCTGGAAATAATATAAAACAGCCAGTATTGCGTCGAATAAATCTATCGACGTAATAAAAGCCCTGGATGAGGTAGACCGAATAATATCTTTTGTTAGGCGATAATGAAAAATATGATCTGATCTTGTTCATCTCCTCGTTGTCAGATATACTTGTGCGAAACCCTACCGAGGTTTGTTGATCATATAGTTACTTTTGCCGATCAAGGTAAAATACAAGATTCGAGTAACCCAATTAACGATTTTATCAGGTGAACCGGTGATTCGTTCATGGATAACATCGCCATGAACCAAAATAGAATTATATACCTTGGAGACCCAACCGCGGATAATGATGCCGCGACAACACAAACATGCCGATGATCAAGAATCGAACTATATATTTCTGTGTTGTGGTATGATGCGTGATTTCTTAACATGAACAAAAATGGCATCAATTATCTTAGAACGCCAGAGTCTGATTTTGATGCTGCAACAAAGAAATATGTCGATAAGGAAGTTCCAATAACAACTTCATTAGCCACAATCAACGATTGAGTTCAAGACTGATTTTTCTAATTAAGTTCAAAAGTTTATGAACTTTTGCAGAGACGTGAACAGAACCACTAACGAATTTTTTGGAAGTCCACCAACTGACATAAACCTAGCTGATATTAACACAAACATTAATGATATTGTCAGTGGGATTCCTAATATCGTTGAAAAAGACGAATCTGATCAAAATTCCGCACAAATTTAAAATATTTTGTACACAGTGGTAACAGATTCATCAACATGGTCACAACAAAATAACACTCTCACACTGATGTTTATAGGATATCCGTGCTTAGCAGTGCAAAGTTTAGTATATTTACCAAATTTATATGGTGTCACATAAGCGATGATTTTTTTGGAGTTGTATATATAGTGTTAAATAAAGATGCCAAAGAAAAGTTTTTTTTATAGCGTTCGATAGAAGATTAACCGCGACGTCTTACTGGTGGTGTCTGAAATTTGTAGCCGAAACACCGCAAATAATCACTTAATCAAACATCTATTGTATAATGAAAAAGTATAGTAGATTTTAATCATATTTTGGATAAACTTCCAAAACAAGATGTTGAAGAGTTAATGCAATATTACAAATATTATCATAATGAAAACTTTGGTGCCTGACAAAATGTCACAAATACTATAACAATATACTCCGGATAGGTCATGTTTACCGTTGTTGACCTGCTCTGGTATAATTTCAAGCGGAGTATCAGTCATTCCGTTTTTGTTAATCATATTTGGCGTTGGTATTTCTCTTGCAACAGCGTGTAAAAAAAATCGATCCTCGACTTACAACTAAAAAAGAACATGCCTGTAAAACGGCTGGTATCACCAATAAAAAATTATTTGATCAGATACGATCTTGCTTACTAGGTATAAAATATAATATTGATGATTCAATACGCCAGTTTCGTACTA